CACGTCCGTTCTCCGACACAGGCGCACGTCCATTCTCCGACACAGGCACACGTCCATTCCCTGATACAGTTCCATATGTATAGAGCTTAGTTTATATGTCACTTATCCATGTGCGCTTTTGGCCCGTGGACAGCCATGTTCTTGTGTTTGTTTCTACATGCAGCAATGATATTCCACCAGACCAGGAGAGGTCAGATGTAGTGTGAGAAACACAAATACAAGCAGTGTAGTGCTACAAGTAAATATTATAAACAGTTTAAAGTTAGGCTTTGGCAAAGTTAAGGTAATACGGCATACTGTGGTATTTTGAATTCCTTACGACAAAATTAGCTGGGACACCCCCACACTATCACGCTAGGTGAATTTTTTTGCCAAGATTTAAAAATGCCGGAATACTGTTGCTTCTGAAAATACCATATGTACCGCAGTATGATGTCTGGACAGTATGCAAAATTAGATATGCGGGTATCTCTGACCCTCCTACAACAATCCTTCTGCTCTTTCTTGGTTGACCTCTGTTCTGTAAGTCGCTGCTGCCACCTACAGCAAATGCCTGGTCAGTTTCCTTACACACGCGCAGTTAATACGCAACGACACACATGTTCTCTGCCAGACATAAAAAGAATCTGGATTATGCACGCATTGTATGGCACAAACCCCTGATGACAAAATTCACAAAAGCGCATGTGGAAAAGTGAAGTATGAATTGGCCTTAAGGGATCTGCAGTATTTAGACAATTTTATACAAAATAAATGCTGTGCTGTGTTTGTCTTTAGTTTTGTTTTTCATTCCCAGTGAAAACACACATAAACATGCGTCCTCCTACACACACTGATACAGCTACGTTGTGATGATCTTGGCCGTATATGCACGCATTCTGTGATCAAAGCATTTATTCCGATTCACACCAGGCAAAGCTTCATTCTTGAGTTTAAATGCTCTGTGTATTTGCTGTTGCCAGGTCAGATCTACTGGGCCAAGGACATCATATTCCTGGTGAATGAGCACGACCTGATTGGCATGCAGGCTTGGCTGGAGGGCTATCATCACACTAACAGCACAGGTAGCCATCCAGGTCGGGCGCCCGGCCAAAGTCCTGCCGATTGCCGGCTCATGCGGTGGCTGATGACTTTCCGTGTGTGTAGGGATGAGCTGGACGCCCCTGCACGGCAGAGGCGGCTCCATCCAGGCCGCCCTCACGCTGGAGCTCAGCAGTGACGTCATCACCAGCCTGGATCTGGTGCTTGAGGGCCTCAATGGTCAGCTGCCCAATTTGGACCTGGCCAACCTCTTTTATGCTTTCTGTCAGAAGATCAATGTGCTGTGCACCATCCAGGGCAAGGTAGGCTCGGGTGGGGAGGCGTCATGCAGAGTGGTATTACGCAGCACAGTGTCATGCAGAGCGGTATTACGCAGCACAGTGTCATGCAGAGCGGTATTACGCAGCACAGTCCACGGCGTAGATCTGGATCCAGGGCTTTGCACTGAGCTGTTATGAGCACCTATAATTCTGTTAGCTATTCTTGGTCTTTGTTCCAGTCTCTCTGGCTCAGGTGTGATATCTTAGCTGGAACTCACGGGAGACCACCAGAGTTTCCTCATAATGTACAGCTCAGATTTTAAAAAGGGATTTTTTAAATCAAATATGACAATCTGAGACACCAGGGCAGAAATCTGTCTCAGAGGACTTCTGCTGTTGCATAGATTTCAGCAGCAACCAGCCCTATAGTTACAGAGAATGTGTTTACACTGTAAGAAGATCGTCTGCACAAACTATGTGAGCTAGGTGCAGGCGAGAAAGTGATGACTTACTGATTCCTGAATAATCTAAGCGGGACTAAATCAGGACATGAATAACTTTCTCAAGATCTGGAGGTGATAAAAAACGATTAACTTTTGAGATTTCTAAGATGAGCGAAAATAAAGATCTACGAAAACTACAGAATTAATTTGCTGATCAGATTTAAAATCAGTCAAAGATGACACCCAGATTTAGTGCACAATCTTTCACAAAAGTAGAAGGTTGACCCACATTCTCAGAGACAGGGTTAATACAAATTTATCTTATTATTATTTAGTTGTAAACAGTTTTGAAACATCCAAGCCTTAATGTCTGCCAGAGTGTGGGCCTCGGGGTTCCAGTGAATGATGAGAGTATGTTGGCTGAACCAGCTGCAGAGGAACGACTGGGACAGTGTGGCAGGATACAGCCACGCAGTGCAGACCATGCTGCTGATGGTGCTGAAGCAGGCTAGCGGGAGGCCCTGGGGAGACCACGGCCTCTTTCTGCGCTACCACGTCGAGGCGGCGACCATCCGGGGGATCAACAGCTTCCGGCAGTACAAGACCGACGCCACCACTGTGGGCAGGTAAGCTGCCCCCCCCCCTGTAATCCACACCGGTACTGAGGCCATGTACCTGGGTCTCATTTATAACTTTATAAACACATGTCTATATAATAAATACAGACGCTCCTCTGCTTACGAATGAGTTGCGTTCCGAACGGCCGTTCATAACTTGAAATGTTCGTAAGTCAAAAGTCAACATTTTAAGGGTATACTCAAGTACAAAGAACTGGGATGCTGGGAGTTTGCACGCTACGCTGCTGCGCGGCGGGAGTAGCGACCAGGAGTCGTACTAGGCGGAATTGGCGTGCCGAGAAATAAATCGATGTTGCGGACAGGAAACGGGAGGCCAACAAACACAATTTGGACTTACAGTCCTCTTCGTTCGTATGTTTGAAAGTTCGTTAATTGAAAGTTTGTAAGTAGAGGAGCGTCTGTATATCAACTGATAAACAGCTGATGGATTATGCTGATTGGGCAGCCGTGCTTTGGAGGACCAATAGGCAGGGTTGCCAAATCTCACGCATCTGGCGTGACGCTTGCGCTTTCAGTCTTTCACTGTCACGGCAAGTCTGTATTATTCCATTATAAACCTAAAATTAGGTACATCAAAAGTGCTGGGGTAGTTTGGAAACCCTGCAGACTATTTACAAGGTAATGAATCTGTTACACACATATAAATGTGTGTGCAGACTTGTTTGTAATTGAAAAGCTCACTCCAGCCAGCAGACCAAAGCTGGCAACCCCGCGTAGGGTCTGGATTGAAAAGTATCTGATGTTGCAATGAAGTATAGCTAATTTTCATCAGAAAAAGGCAGATTAATTTTTTTTTCTACATATATTTTCTATATAAGAATGTACTCCAGTTGGGCTCCTATGAATTATTTATGCAGATCCAGTATCAATCAATCATTCAATCCATCAATTTATTTTTGTATTGCATTGACATATAAAGTTTACATTGTCTCAAAGTGCTTTACAATATCTCTGTCCAATGCCCTGAAAGAGCAAGCTGGAGCAAAACTCCCTCATAGGAAGAAACCTGGGGAAGAATCAGACTCAAAGGGGAAGCCCATCCTCCAGGGACCGGCAGAGGAAGTCCGAAATAACAAAGTCCAGATATAAAGTAGTATTACATAAATGCTGATGGTCCAGTAGTTATGAAATAAAAAATTTCTGCAACGCTTGGGTGTTCGGTATAAAATCAGAGTATTAAAAATAGCTTTAGTAGGATGATTCCAAAAGAAATATCCATATCCAGTAAACCTTGTAATTTATCTGCTTTATTCCCCCCCCCCAGGCTCATAGAGGGAATGTACCGTAAGCTGAATAATCTCCTGGAACGTCTTCACCAGTCCTATTTCTTTTACCTGCTGCCCTCCCTGTCGCACTTTGTGTCCATCGGATACTACATGCCAGCTTTCGGCCTGCTGATACTCATCCCGTTACTCCGGATATCCTGAC